AAAACCCAACAAATCTTAATGTTCATCTTCAAAGTTACCATTGAAAGGAACATGCAGTGTTCATGGAAAAAGATGCAGTGAGAAAAACATTAGCAACATGGGTAATGTTAACAATACAAGCACCAAAACCTAACACTGCTTTAAAAGATCAGAGAGAGGAGTGAATGAACAGCTCCAGTGGATACAAAAAATGGGAAAACACACTCATCAGTCTATTCATGGAGGCTGGTATGTCAACCAGATTATGTGAATTTAATGCTGTAGCTACTTGATCTGAAATTCAAACTCCAGGGGCTGTGTGTATCAATTCATTGATTGCAACTCAGAGCCAAAGAAATGCTTTAGCATGTTTCCACCAACCAACCTCACCATGTTCTGCTTAGTTTGCCTTGCATTTGTCATCCACGCCCTGGAGAGGCAGTAGCACAGTGTAGAGACTGGACTAAATTGGCCTCAAATAAATTGGTCAAACATTCAAATCGTGGTCTCGCCTGCTGTGTATTAATAGGCTTGGCTACTCTGAACCAAGTGTATTTTCTATTTTAGTGAAGTTTGGATCAGTAAATTGACAGTGGTACTTGGCAACTTTTAGCCTTAACTAAAATGACTAAAATAAAAACTGAAGCTAAATAGAAATGAGTCCATGAAATAAAAACTAAACTGAAACTAATGAAACCACTGGTCTAACTATCTAAAATGAAATATAAATTCAGATTGAGTACAAAAATGATATCAAAATAAAAGTAATTTGGAAATGGAAAACTATTATAACCCTGGTGTGCAACTCATCTGATTTAATCTATGGAGCCCATTGTTGGACAAGACTGTTTCTTACCTGAAGTTCAGTCAGTGAAGCAGAAAGATTATACTTAGCTAGTGAGATCCTGAGGAAATGCTTCCAGTTACCTGTTTGATACTGCTCTTGTTCCTGCCAGTCATCAAGTTTCCCACCCGAACTACTGAGTAGCCTTGTAGTTTTTGTTTTGAGAATGCAAAATGCTAAAATCCTCAGTTTGTTCTGACCAGCCACTGTGTGTTTAGGCTTTATTCTTGTTCTTATAGCTGTGGCATTAAGGCATTAAAAGACTTGACATGATATAGTGTGTAGAAATAATATAACAATTTTCAATCCATTGGTGTTTTGAAAAAAAATCATGCCTTAATCATAAAATATACATACAAGTGTTTTCTAATGTCTCCTGTATTTGTTATGATTTTCACAAAAACTAACAAATCTACAAATATGCAAGAGGCTTTTGACAGCAGCAATGTTAACCAGCCACACAGAGGCATATTTATCACAGAAGAGAAGACCTATACAGTATACCTCAGTGTCTCGACAAAATGCCTGAACAACAGACTGACACTGGTCCATATCACCACCAACAATGCAGAGGCCATCCGGTCTGGTCAATCTTCTTGCAATTGGTGCCTGATAAGGGTTCAATAAAAGTAATAAAATATCTAAGACTGGATTGACTCGACTGCTGTTTGGACATAAAACTCTCTGGGGGATAAATTCAAATCTCTCTGGCCATTCTCTTGAGCATCCAATAGAACAACACCAAAGAAAGTATTGATTTTTGGGCTTCTTTTTTATTACTTTCCCCAAAGATGCATGTAAAAGAGGTGAGTTCTCAGCTGGGTCTCAAGAGGACAGACTAGGACATTCAGAAGTCCTAAGGCTATGTGAAATATTTATAACTGAAAACATCAAGAGTGCAGTAAAACTTTAACAACAGAAACACAAGCAGAAAAGAAAACCCAGAGTGCTCTGAAGCTTGAGAAAGGCCACCTAATCAAGATGACCTCCGGCTAATAAACCCTTCCTTACCAGTAAGCAGTGCCTTTTCACACCCAGCTGACCTTGGATTTTTACTGCTGCATACTGTACAATATCCAGGAATGCAGGAGGGTATACTGGATGCTGAGTACAAGGTTACATTATACCTACAGCTTGTTGACTCCGGAATGAAGGTTAAAAAGTTTACTTGCATGAACTCACAAGTAGCTCATTCACAGCAAGTAGAGATTACGTTTAGGCAAGACATTGAAAAGTTTAATCACCCCACAAAAGAATAATTAATAGCGCAACATGAAAAATTCATTCTGGGACTCAGTAATATTATTTTTCTTACTTTGATTTGGGGGAAAATTACACTCTTTTGTAGTCTTGTAATTGCACTTGCCCTATTCTGTGGCTTTGGTGAATGAATACCAGTTCTGAACAGATAAGAACACATAACAGGTGTCATTGCAGATTTTATTTTCTCACTTTGCTCATGACATGCAGCAGCTCTCAGTCTGTCTATCAGAAGGCCAGCCACCTACGGAAATATCTCACCAACTATTGGATGGATTGCTATTAAACTTTGTACAGGCATTCATGGTGCAGTAAGTTTTAAATTAAGAGGAGCAGTAAGTCACAAAACTTGTAGTTCTTTGTGTTGCTTCTAATACACTCGATTTTGCTGAGCCATTTTCAGGTGTGATCAAGCACTGTGGCTGTAGCTGTACCATCAGATTACTGTATATCTCAACATGCTGGGTGTGAACACTCTCACAGGCTGCTTCACCAGCACAAACTCTGAGCCGAAGGTTTTGCTGATTTGAATATTTTGTGCTTAACTGTCTCCCTACAGTGGCTCATCAGCTCAAATGAGTTTAAGTGACAAACAGTGTAATAAACAAAACAGCCACAAAAATGAAATTGTGCATTTGTGCATTAGCTTTGATTTTAGGGACACTGGCCTTTAACATAAGGCGAGGATAAACCTTTTCTAACAGTGTCTTTATTCAGTCTCCGGTGTATGAAGCAACTTTCAGCTGTAGAGAGCGGATGTTTGCATGAATTAAATATCCATTGAGGCTGAAGTAGTCTAGTGGTGTAGCAAGTGCAAAGCCATTTTTCATTTCACTACCTAAAAAGAATGCACAAGGACAAAACCTGAAACTGTACACATCAGGAACATTATCTACAGTTTTACATGATTTTCACACAGTAAAGCATTGCTCTGGGTTAAAAGCATCAATGCCAAGTGACAACTCAGAGTGGAAACCATACATGTGTCATCTATACAACAGATGAATGAGGAAAGGAAATAGCTTCTGTATGCAGTATGCAATTAACATTCCTGGTGGGAGAAGAGAAACAGATTCAGAATGTTATGGCAGACCTACTGCTGTGGTTGCACAGAACCCTTAAAACACACTGTGTTCAGGCTCGGGTGTCATTTAGAGAACTGCAGTTAGCAGCTGTTGGTAATGTAGCGGACAGACCACAATGAGCTCAGTCCAAGGTCAGGGCTTCAGAGGGATACAAAAATCAATAGGTTTGTCTTGTTTCTGGTTAGGTCCCAATATAGGCAGCTCTGCTGTTTGTACGCTTTGATAGTGCAGAGTGACTGAAGATCTTACTTTTTGATATTCATTCTGAATGTCCAATTGACACTAAAACAAAACACCAAAATAGATTAAAACACATGATATTAAGATACATCATTTTATTATTGTCAGTCTTAAATATGAGCACACATTTTTCATCAAGAAAATACATATGAACCAACAATCCTTGACAATACACAATGGCCCTGTTCATTAGTGAACAAGCCAATCGAAGGGAGCCCTGTGAACTTGAAGCCAGGTAAAGGACAGAATTTTAGTCATGGGAATCATTAAAAATAAATCCCATCAGATTGTGAGACTACTTCATGCGTCTGCCACGATACCAGTGGCAGCTAAGACAAATATTTGATTTCTTATGTCTAATCAAATTTTACAACCAAAGTTCCAAAAACAATCTCTCCCAGAGTCCAGTGCAATTATGCAAATCACACAAATGTCACAAAACACCTAAACTTAATAGTACTATAATGTAGGTGCAATACAAGATCTCATTTTTCCCAAAGACTGCTTCTTGCTTTGCACATATGAACACAATGGAAAAAAAAGCACCCATAACTTTCCCCCATAACTCAGCCCAAGTTCCAAATGGGTCAGTGTTTGCTTGGGCTGAAAGAAAGAATGAGCCCTGCCCTCCCTATGCATTCCCCAAACAGACAATGGAATTGGTCATATCAACATAAATATGCAGCTCTACTGCCAAAATATAAGCTTTCATGAGTTGTGATTCAGAATTGGCTGACTGGAGTCAGGCAGAGACAAGAAAAGTTGTGTATTCAGGCCTTTTCAATGCAGTTTCCAAGCTGAACTTTGGAATGGATGAGAAATATTTCTGACATCCTCTGCCTGGTTATGGGTTTTATCATTGTAAGTTTGGCTTGAATGGGAACTGCAGTGTGTCTTGCATATCCTTTTTACAAGTCATGCTTGGTGGGAACTTGGAGCATTTGCATTAGCTCTATAAGACAGCACAGAGGCTGATGTTTTTAATGCCACACAGAAAGAAACTGTAGTATGAGAGATAAATTATTTTCAATTATGAAAGTTTCCTATTTCCCACTGAAATATGTATGTCATCTGCTGCTGTGCTCACTTTGCCTGACCATGATGCATGTTATACGCAGCTGTTGGAAGCATACAGCATGGGGAGAAACAATCAGTGTTTCGTTTTTGACTTTCTTTAACTCCCGAAGAGACAGAACGCTGCTGAATTTAGTATACTGTAAAGCTGCAATTGTCACACTGGATGACACTGATATCGCTTTAACTTTTACAATGGAGGATGGGTCCAGTTAACAACAGGACAATACAAGGACCAACTGAGAGCTTATTAGAGTTTTCTCAACTAAATGAGCCATAACATGGCAAATAGCTGTGTTGTGCAACAAAAAAACATCACACTGTCTCACTAACTATAATGTGATTGTGTTTAACTGCTCTACAAGCCAGCTTGTCCGACCTTGAGGCTACCAGTGCCCATAAAGCATTAAAAAGTCTGGTACTAAGTGATATAAAAGGCATTGGGTCAGGAAAAAAAAATCCAAATTTAAGCCTGTAAAGAAGCAGCATGCATAGGATATCTCTACTAGTCTACAGTAGGGATATGAAAACAAAGAAATGAAGGTGGTACTTTGCTTTTGGCTGTACCAGGCTCTGACCAAGGCCAAAACCGTAAAAAATGTGATCTAGCAAATTTCCAACAGCGACCTGATAAGAGCTGACTGTGTACCATATCCAGTGAAAAGGCAGAAAGCCTCATCCTCTGATCACATACTACGCTTTGCATGCTGCCTGCTGCTTTTTAGCTCAGTGCTTCACAGTTTACAATATTTTGTCTGCGATCCCAGATCTCATCACAGTTAATAAACAATTCTGTTGTTTCACACTGACAATTAGCAGTTTTCCCGCATGCATTTAAATTCAGAATATCAATGTGGTCAGTTTTGGTTTGAAGTCTGTGCTGCTCAGTGCAGTCTCAACTCTGAATCAGTCGTAGTGACAGGGCATTGCTATCATTAGGTCAATCATTAAGTTAGGTCTGCTATACAACCACCTCCTTACTTTTGGATATGAGTGTGAAAAAAATGTGAATTTTCATTTAATGTAGAGATGCTTAACATGTTACATTTTCTGTTTCTACAGGCCTGTCTTTGTTCTAAAAGTAACCACTGGGTTTGTCCTCAGTAATAGTGTGCTTAGCCCAACAAATTATATTTTATTGCATTTGAAATTACATCAAAAAACTATATAGCAATTATTAAGGACAAAGCAATACACATTCAGACGTCTGTGTTGTCCTTTGGAGCACGTGATACTCCTGCAGTGTGGAAAAGAAAGGGTTTCTGTGAATCACACATCCATAACTGATCTAAATATTACTTTAAGGTGGTGGGGGGTGTAACCACAGTGTCATAACTGTACAAATCGTTGAACTGCTCAGAGGTAGTAAAAATACTACCTAAATACTACTACAGTAAAAAACTAAATAAACGGCCCCGATTTTAGAATGTGTGCTTGGCTGTAGAATTTGTGTGCATGGTGTTGTGTGTGTTAAGTTTGTTAGTTCCAGGCAAACTATTAAGAAAGGTGATTTCACAACTGGCTCCTTTTCAACCTTTCAAGTTCAGCCTCTCTAAGTGATGAAGCTGTGACTGTTTGTGCATATTGACAGCAACCACTTCAAACAAGTCTGTCTGAACAGATCCAGCACAGACATCCTCGGGAGATGATCATACTTCACTTCATCTTAAATGTGGTTAATCTTGTGGCAAAATAACTGTGTAAAATTGATGTGGGATCAGTAGTACCATCCTCCAAGCAAGGATGTAATAATTACCATGTCATTTCCAAACATCACTGTGCCAGTGATGAATAATCATCTGCGGTGCTTGTCTCTCTGACTCGCTCTTTGTCTTGTGTGAGAAAACAAACTGTGATTAGCTCGTCAGATTCAGCTGATGATTACCCTGATCAATTTCAATAATGCCCCTGTGTGTTTCATGCCATTTTGATTTGGATATCGGCTCTTTTTACACATCAAAGAGCACAAACCTTGAGCTACAAAGGGGCTGCGCTCAAAAGAAATATTGAGGTGCACACAAATGATGGGCTAATAACCTTACCAGAGCCATGGCAAACCGCAGAAAACGATCTGAATTTTCTTTTAAAAGAAAAAAGGTAAACATGAACAGGTTCGGTATCATTCTTCTCCTGTCAGGCCTGCTCAGTGTCAGCTGAACTAACATTAATTTAAAAATAACCATATGTAAAAACACACCCAATCAGAGCTGTTAGATCATAAGAAGCACATCATTTCCCCACCACAACACAGACACAGACTAATTTGTTTTAATTCATTGTTCCTGTTTGATGTTGTGTTAATGGAAATGTATAAATGCTTTAGTGCTGCACACAGCCCAATGATGTGGAGTGCAGCTCTCATAGAAACTGACAGTCAGTAGATGGTTGTGTCTGAGGTATGTCAATTAACACAAACAGTGATGCATTTTGCAAGGGATTATTGGTTAAAAAAATCTCTCCCACATTACAAAACCAGTAGCCTGGCACCGAATGTTGCTTTTTTGGTGTTGTCACTCAGCTCTTTTCCACTGCTGGGGGTGACCTGAATGTAGTCCAGCAGTTGCTGTGATTCACTTCTCAACACATGAGACAAGAAAAAGATAAATTACTGACTTTAATTTTTGGTGCTGTGTTGAGCGAGGTTACTCATTGTTACATAGAATCCTTACGCTTGCAACAAAATGAGGTAAGAGAGACCTATTGTTTGTTTACTGCCTCTCAAAACACCAAAATACTATGTCTGCACCGATAGTCCTCCATAATAAAACGGATATGATTTTCTTGTTTTCTCATATATCTTGTCTTTTCTGATAATGCAAGCTATATATCAAGTGATAAGAGCAGTTGTAGCCTTTTTGCTCAGACCTCTGATCAGCGTTGGTTATTGCAATTGGCTCAAAAACTGTACAATGATTTTAGTTTTTTTTAAGTAGCCCCATGTTAAAACCATATTGACACATAGCATATTAACCCTCTTATTTGTGAAAAGACTACACTATGTGTCCATGTGTTTTAATTGGTACTGAAACTAGTGTGTTGTATAAACTGCTAAAGTCTTTGGGTTATTGGCGTGTAAATGCATGCAGAAAGCGTTTATTTTTTGTTAATATAATCGTATTGTGTGGTCTCCAACCATCCAATGCTGGTCTGGGACATGAACAGGAACATTTCCTCAAATAAATGTGCTGTGTAGAAATTACATGATGCTCAAACAAGTAGCAACAGCATTAATACATTTGCATTATGAAAGTCAGACACTGACCCCACACAAGTGGAGTGAGCTGTGCCTCCATTTCAGTACGTAATTATAACATATTTATTCCTGACACAATTTTTGTGTATAACTGTACTGGTAAAAAACAAAAAAACAAAAACCCATAACACTAGGATATGAGTCCTAAATACTTACAACTTTATATTTTCCCTTTTCAAAATATTAAAAACTAAACATACTTGGAAAAAAATAAAAGATTAGCAAAACACAACTGTAAGTATATCACTAGAATGCTGAGAACAAAAATACTTCAAGGTCAAAAACAATTCTGCTTTCAACAACCAGACTGATACTGTAATTATTATACATTAAAATATGATAATACCAGGCTTTCAGGCTCAGGGTAACCTAAATGCCTCCTGCTTCACTGTCTCAGTTTGACTTTGAGGTATTTAACAGTCACCTCTCATACTTGCTGTAAATTTGCTTTTTCCTGCAGTTGAGATGAAGATGCAGTGTAGTTAAAAATGAAGACAAAGCCATTTGAATAACACCATATTAAAAAAGCCTTCTTTTCCCAAGATATATATGTAAAAAGAGACAATACGGAATAATATAATTTAGAGAGAAAATATCCAACAGAGTTCAATTAAAATGTGAGAAAAAAAACCTATGTATTGATTTAGTGGGTCAACATTATTGTGTAGCAGGGTACTTCATGCACACACTGTGCATCAGTTTATGATTCCGGTTGAAAAAAAGTAACACACACACATACACACACACACACACACACACACAAGCACACACACAAGCACACAATACTTTTGTTCAAATCCACTCCTCTTCAAAATCTGAGCAGTAGCGGCAGAAACGCTATGAAGAGGAGACAGGTGTGTGAGCGCATTCCCACTGCACCGCTGCTGCCATCCTGAACTGCTCTCGGCCCTGAGGAGGAGGAAAACCACCTGGGTAAGTTTCACCACTAAGGATCGACCTGTCCTTTGTGTTAACACTACTGGAAGTAAGTTATTAAATGAATACCCTATCTGCTGATAACAATTCAGTGGTTTAATAGCCTTCTGTCAGGACACAAAGTGTGTGACTCTGTGATTAGTTTTTGCTAGAGTTGTACAATGCCTGTAATTTGTTTGTATGAGAACACAGGGTGACTTTGACACTTTGTATTTCCTACATGCAAACAAGCATACGCAATTACAGTTACATCAATATTATCGGGGATCCGGAGATATGAATTACAAGGTATATGACAGAATTATTAGGTGTTTTCCTTACGTTCTATCCTGCTCTCCAGCTGTGAGTCCAAACTGTGTGCTATTAGTGTGAAAGCGCTTTGAGTGTGCTGCAATGCATATAAAAGTGCTATACAAGTAAAAGACCATTTACCAGTTCAAACAGAAAATGACACAATTTTTGTTGTAAACAATAAACAAACACTACATAAAGTACACTATATATACATATAGTGAAAGCTTTCATTTGTAAGGCAGGAAGTTAGCAACATTTAGTAAGGCTGCACATACAAGGATTAACAGTGGACGTTGGTCGGCATCTACTGTTTAAAGATGTTAATCTCATCTTAGACAAGAACATTCTTAGTAGGAATTGACCTTTCTCTCTCTAGTCTATAGTTTTACTGTATGTATCAAAGAAAACTGTTTCACCTGATTTTTATTTATTAAACTGCAGCCTTTGCTCATTAAAATACATGCTGTAATGGAAACATTTATCTTACTTTCCTTAGATTTAACAAAAATGAGACCAGAATGAAGTTCAGTATTTCATATTACGATATAAGCTATATCATTTAGTTTTTAATGCACCTGTAGTGTTCTAGAATTGGTATGTGTTAAGGGCAACACACACTGGGAGCGGTGCATCTTCAGTACAGGACTACCAAAATGGGTGATTATTTCAGTATTTCATTCTTTTGACACCTGTCACCACCAGGCAAGGACAACAGCATATCCTGACTTGTGACATGCGTCAGCCTGTGGTGACGTGTGTCAGTTTGCCACCCATGTGTGGGCTTGCATTCAAAATAACGGGTGTGAGTGTTCTGACACGTGTCACACATGGCCAGTGTGTATTGCCCTTTACAGTGTTTGCATAGTTTTAAAGAGCACTGCATGGCATTCAGAAGACTCTATTATTATAATATTGTGCAATAACCTTTTATGATGCAACAACAAAAGCACAAAATATTTTCAGCATGCTCTTTTCAGAGATGAAGCAAATTCTATCTAAATGAATGAGGACACATTTGAACTTTTTTCTTTGAAGCCTGTCACACAGTGAATACTCATTTCCCTTGGATTTTCATGAGTTCACTGCAGTTTCCTTTGGGGCATCTATCCAATTACTCTGCCACAGTCAATTATCCCTAATCCTGCATATGGCTAATTAGAATAATGACAAATACTCATGGTCAAAATCAAAGCTATTAATACAATTCTGTCACTGTTGTGTAAATGGAATGAGTTAAATTACAACATGCTGCAACCAGCACCTTGTAAATTAAGGACACAAGGTCTTTGTCTCTATCACCATAGTTCTACATGTTTAAAAGCATTTACAGGAATAAACTATGCTAAAATCTACTCTATGCAGTTACTACTTGAAGATGCACTAAACATTTCAGCCTGCATTAGAATTCTGCATTTCACATAATTTTGCTTTCACTAACAACAGTCACAACAATCACTTAAGAACAAATTGTGATAATGAAAGATGATGAATACTTACATTGAAAAAGAGCATGCAAAAATCAAACCAGCATCACATAAAAAATTGTTAGTTTGGCAAAGGAGCAATATGAAACATGGTTCATATTGCATTAAACATGGTGCAGTGGGTTGCATTGCATTTTCACAGTCTACATGACATTTGCATGTCTTTGCTATTCTTATTCTTCAAAGACACTGCTTGCCACACAACAGTGCTAAAATCTGAATTCATAGAGAGAAATGATTAGTCTCTTCTTGTCAAATACAGAATTTAACAATGTTTTCACTGACACTGCAGCCTAACGCTGTGAAAATGGCAATGTCTGTCATGTTCCAGCATGCAAGTTAAGACTTTCAGCACACCAGTTGTGCATGCTGGTGCAGAATACTAACCTTGCAATAGTGTTGAGCTAGTGGGTTCAATTACCACTACACCAGGGAACAAAGGAAACAGAGCAACATATCGGAAACAGAACAGGAACACATCATTGACAACACTTGTGTAGAGCATAAAAAGTAGGCTGCTGAATGTACTTCTACATCATAGCTGCACAGTTAAGAGTTTGAACTGATAATAGTGGCAACAGCCATTCATTAAAATACAGGTGGTGTCCATTTCAAAGGATTTTCATTCTCAGTACCACTCAGTGTTGGTAAAGTGATATTCTACATAATGTTTGGGTCCAGTGAGCCCTTTGATGATGTGTTATAATCTGGTTTGGTTTGAAACAACCCTCTGGGGACAGCGCCAAGTGAGGAAGTATAGTGGCCAGGGTCACATGATGTCAGAGGTGGAAGAAACAAGTTAGGCTTCTCTTGTTACTGTATCATTCTTTGCTAACTTTTATGTTAGAAATATTAGATAATAAAAACAAAAGTCACACCAAGTTGTAATAAACCGTGTGAGAATGGAGCAAAACAAAGGAGCCGAATCATCAGCTACAGCAGAGAAGAAGCTGCTGGTGTGTCTGTGCCAAGCTCCACATCTCTCACTCTGTTAAAACGTGTTCTAGAAATTGTATTTACTGATTTACTGAGTATTCAGGGGATCAGGGGCTGGGACTCGCAGTTTGTGGACAATACAAAATATGTACAATGGTACAATAAAACTAAGAATAACAGTATTATGGTGCCATTGTTAAGGTCAGGATTACTTCATCTTAGGCGAAAACAGTTGCATCTAATTAATCAATGAGTTAAGGCACCACTGTAACTATTTCACATTATGCGACCCAAGTCAAACACACCTAGGAAATTGTGTAAGCAATAGCTGGGTCTGGCTAAATGCTAAAATGCTCAAGGTAGGGCCTCCAGCTGTTCCCTCAGGAAATGACACCTTCATTAAGGTGTGGAGAAGCATTGCTCAAAACTCACTGGATTCAGACGGGTGACTATGACTACAAATCACTGACTGATGTAACTCACTGTACAGAGTAGAACATTAATAACTACTGCATAATTTAGCATTTTGTATGTGCAGAAACTTTCAGGCTTTCTTTTTAGATCGATATGTGTATTTGTGGCTACGGCTTCTGTGGAGTTGACACAGTTTATACGTCTCTATGTTGTCTGTCTTCATGATGCTTTATTCTTCTGTTGATTACTTTATGGTTCTGAGAAGTGGCTGGTTATTTGATTTACAGGTTGCAGTGTAATATTGCTATGTAAAATCTGTGGTAGCTTCCCGTGGTGTACATATTGTGTATACTGCGGGTTAATTTTCTAAGGTTATAGGAAGGTGGTTGTATGTTTGTAACCAACAATCACTTGTCTGTGAAAACAAATAAAAGACTTACTTTTTGTTTAATCTGAACACATGTTTTACACAAGTAGTTCGACTTTCACTAGAGGAAAATTTATTCTAGGTAACCTTTTCTTGTATCAATAGTGATGGCATTTTGTCATTCAGATATACAGTAGGTTTCTGTGACGTTAATGTCATTATTCAGACATGACAGCTCATTTGCAGAAACAGTCACAATGCTGACCTGACACAATGCTCATGGGATATTCGTGCATGGGAGACAGAGTGGAGAGTGTCACCTCTCAGAGGTTGCACTACTGATGGATTTTATGACTTATTTTGCCATTAAAGTCTTAATTAACCATGGTGAGTGTGAGGGATGCTTTCCACTTCCTCTCATGGTGAATCTTCTAGTAAATTTTCTATTTTTTCATCATTTATCAGAGAATTCTACTTTCTCTTTTGTAAAGTGCCTAACCAAAGAATGCCACATCTGAAGTTGGAACTCTCATTTAATTCCTTTTCCTAGACAATAACAATTTAACACTAATGCAGTTAGGAGTTTTCCTTGTATTATTAAACAGTTTTTAAACTATAAATTAACTTTATAGTATTTTGGTGTCTACAGGAGACTTGATGCAGTATTTAAATTATACACTTATTATGGTATTCTTAATACACAGCATGCAGGTAATTACATTTGGTGCAGGTTTTACTGTCCTCTCCATATGTCATCTATGCCAGCAGCCTAATATGTGTTATAGCTAGATTACCTCTAGTGACTGTAGTAATTACATGATTAAACAGAAGCAAAGGAGGAAGGTAGGTGATGTTTATAAAGCCACAAAGTCTATGTAGGAGGAGGTGGGGGTAGATGGATGGGTCAGAAAGCACAGGACTGTCCTAATTCCAGTGTGAAATGTGTTTTTATGCCTCCACACCAGTGCCAGCCACTGCCAACAGACATTATGCTTTCAGGTTGTCCATCCAGCCCATCCTTGTGAATGAGAAAGGTCAGGAACACCTTGAAGGAATTTCTTCAAATTTGCCACAGATATCCACTTCAATTCATGATGAACTGATGGTGGCCAAAGGTCAAGGTCATAGTGACCTCCTATTCATATTCTTGTGAATGCAATGTGTGAGGAACACATCAGGAACGTCTGCCCCATTCGTGTGAATTTGACTGGCAGAGATATGTGGAGGCATACAACTGCAAAACAGTGATTCTAATTTATCCATGAGTTAATTACTGCAACCATGACAACAAAAGTTATTTTAATCCAAAACATGTTTTTCTAAACCGTTCAGGTTGGAGGACTTTTTGTAGCCTTCATTTTAATTTGATGTCAGTCATTTATGCCACATTGAAAGTTTTACAGGTATGACCTACAAAGATTGCTGTTGTAACTTTACATAAAAGTCACTTGGGTGCTTATTTAAACTTGAGACAGTGGCTCTTCAAACGAAAGTGACTATACTGAAGTATTATTGTCATTAACTGACTCAATAGCTTTCAGCAGTGGAGCTCCTTACTGGAAACTGAGAGCATCTCATCAGCTCAGGCTCAATACACAGGATGTTACTTCTTATTAAAACTTATTAAACACTGTAAATGCCACAGAAACAGTAAAGTACGAGTGGTACCCTGCCCAAACAGTTTCCTGCGTTCGTCCTGCTGTTTGTATCAGAAACTACAAATCCTTCAGCTGAACTGAACAAAAAAGCTCCAGTCAGCAAAGCAATTCTTAAGTTGCCCCTCAAATAAAACCAAGCTGCCATTACATTTATGTGACGAGGTGTAAATCTGAAAGTCACAAAAAAGCAGACTGTGGCTGCTTACACTACTTTCATCTTTGTATATGTCATCTACTTATAATGTACAGAATATTAATTTCACTTAAACACTTAAACATTATTTTAACTCAGCATAGTAACATACACAATATTAATTATGGCTGCTGTTCTGTAGTATTATACAAGTAATAGATTCCTGTACTCACCATACAGAAGGAAGCTTGTGTTTGAGCTCCCCAGTTTGTTGATGGCAACACAGGTGTAGTTGCCGTAATCTCCTTCAGACACATTAAAAAATGTCAACTTCGACAGTGATCCAGTATTCACAATCTCCACGCCATCGAAGCCATTGAAGATCCTAGTTGGGAGACAAACATGTTCATGGACAAACAGTGAATGCAGCTAACCAATCAATCAATTATATTGTTTGCTAAGTCTTATGCCAAATTATTTGAAGGTCTGTGCTCAATTTAACAATAATCTAATCAATAAAAAAACTATTTGCAGAACTCTTATAATCTAAATGCCTCTGACTGGCAGGTCAAAATTGATGTCAGCATGCATATGTGCGCACACACACGTGCTTCTTCCATTTTCCTACTTAAAATGCAAATATACAAGCCATTACCTTCTGTCATCTTTATACCACTCAAAATCTGCCTCGGGCACAGCATCGGCCTCACACTCCAGCACTCCTCTTTGGCCCAGAGTCACTCCGATGTCTCTGCCCTCTGATACAGTTGGGGCATCTACAAGCAGGCAGCAACACATAGCAGCACTGTGATCAGGACTTACAAGGCAGCACAAGTCAAGGACATCACAGGAGGGGGGCACTGCATTGTCTCCTCTTCAGCCACGATTTTGATTGATAGCTGTGATCTACACCACAACCACAAGTGAAAAAAAATTATGAACTCTAACTATGTACAATGTGTGTTACACTGGTGAAACTGCTTGGTGCCAAGATATTATGACAGGAAATAAACTATTCACCTCCTAATGTGATACACTCCATTCTTCTTCTCCTGCAGCAAAGACACTAGGGGCTGCACTTTTACTTTCAAAAAGCATTCATTAATCTGCCAATTATATTTTGATTAATCACTTAATTGCTTAAATATGGAGAGGGAGAGAGAGAGTCATAGATGTTGTACTGGACTGCATTACATTCAGGGGTGGTCCTAATATTCTGGCTGTCTCATGTATGTAGCTGAGGAGGACAAAAATATAGACACCTCTAAATATAATATAGTCCAGTACAACACCACCTTGACAGCAAAGAATTTCATTGTACAGGGAAACATGTTTCCTCATTGTGCACATGACAATAAACACTTTGAGCCTTTAACTATGACCTCAGTAATAAGCATGTAATTGAATTTATACATTTATGACAATTTCACCACAAACTGAAACATTTTGAGCTTCATAAACACAAATGTTAAGGTGGAAGTACAGGTGTACCTAATAAGGTGGCCGATGAGCATATACTAAGATTGAACTCAGTAGCGCAATAACAGTATTATAGTCTTTCTAGATTTAAGTATGCAAATGAGCACCACACATTTTTTGCCTAGTACTAAGTCTAATGGTTCTTTTTGATAATTTTCAATATACATTTAGATTCTTTCTTTGCTTGTTTTGATTAACTGATTAAATATTATTAAATGGTAGAAACTTGTGAAAAATTCACATAGGAATGTCCCACAGCCCAACATGATCTCTTGAAATCATAGTTTTTCCTGCCAAACAGTGCAGTATTCATCTGTATTCAGTTTATTAACATTATTACATGACTAACAAAATATGATTTTGATGATGATGTTTTTTCTGCTAATAGACCGATAAATAGCCTGATCATTTCAGCACTATCTATTAGTAGTCAGTGTTGTTTTTAAATTCAGCAGTGGACTCACAGTTAACGGTGATGTCTACTGTCTGGGCATCTGCGTCAATATTGTTGTCAGCTGTGCATTCATACGTTCCTGCTCTCTGTCTGGTGATAGATGGGATTTCCAGGTACTCATCATCTGATGCCAGGTCCCCTATGAAACATCACATGCACAAAGTGGGAGATGGTAATTCAGAGTTAATGCGAGTCAACAGCTGTGGCCTCGATTGGTATTTTCACACTTTGTGTCCCCGTGTGACCTCTGAGGGAGTAATCCTCACACTGTTGAATGGAGAGGAAGGTGAAAGGTGTCGCTTATAAGGTCTGTAGACATCTGCTATTTATATACTCTAATTAATCTTTTATATGAATTAGAGTTTGCATTTATGTGCAGCACTGCTGTGACCATTATTGTGGCATTTGAAAATGAAAAGATGATTTATTTTGGTATTAACCAAACAAAGGCAGAATGTAGCTCCAACTCCACCACAAAAACTTAAGCCTGGTAGCAGCATCAAAAGTGGCAACAGATCATGTTAATTCTTGTAGCAACCTGATCTGGTATGACAGGGAAAATTCACACAGCTACTTTTGTGTCACAACTTCCACTAGTAAATATCACGACATGTGCCCAAGTCTGTCTGTTTCTCTGACGCTTCTCTATTGTTTCTGTCGACACTTACAAAGACCGGTTTTGAGCTTACTGACATTTTTCAGAGGATGTTACAACACTTGATGATTAGTGCTTTGTTCAACCCCACTCATTATCACTTGTCTGTCAGAACATTCATATTGTCCTCTTTTTGTGTGTCTCTCACGCCTGCCAGCACACCAGGACTACTACTGAGATACAAGAATGTGAATGGGGGAAAATGCCAGCCCTGCTACTTTTTTGTATCAATTTGACACGCTTGACAGAGACACTTAATACAGCACTCAACGTAAAGAAAAGACATAATTGACTTCAAGCCTCCTCCCAAGATGCCGGGAGGTGACAGTAATAAATTGCAAATGGATTCACCTTGCTGGGTTTAGGCACATTACTGAATTTCACCTGGGAAGGTTGTTATGGAGAAAAGTCCTCACTGACACAGTGATCACCTGATGAGGAGTATCAGGAGGACTCGTACTCTGTTCCATTTCTATGCCTCTTGCTCTGTTTCTGCTTAGCCTTCTCTCTTTTTCCAGTGGAGAATGCAGTGTTAGTTAAAACCACACCGTAATCATCTGAGAAGAGCTGATCAAGACAAGGCTGTCAGATAATGCACTTTGTCAAAGTGCTCACATCAAGTCTGTTTTATGGCAGGTAGCAGCATAAACAGCTGTCGTCCAGACTGACACACTAATGTTCTGAAGGCTGATGAGGGGGTGGAGAATACAGCTCTATGTTTTCATAACTGAAAAACACATCTTCTCCAGAAATAAGACAGCTTAGGTCTGTGGGCAGAACATGTAATTAGTTTGCTGTAGTTAAGTCATAAAACATCTCCAAGCTTGGCTCTCAGCTTAAACACATTATGTTAATCATAGGAGCTTTCTTTAGACTCTGCTAATATATATTAAAATATGTTAATATAAAAAAAACGCAGCACACGGGGCCTTTCTGTGTGGAGTTTGCATGTTCTCCTTGTGACTGCGTGGGTTCTCTCCGGGTGCTTCAGCTTCCTCCCACAGTCCAAAGACATGCAGCTTAGGTTGATTGGTGACTCTAAATTGCCCGTAGGAGTGAGTGTGGGTGTGTGTGGTTGTTTGTCTACATGTCAGCCCCGTGATAGGGGCTCCAGCACCCCCACAAGCCTATTCAAGAATAACCGGTATAGATAATGGATGAATGGGTGTACAAAAGAACACTAGCATCTATGATACATAGTGTATCCCTGTGTAGCAAAGCTAGCATTAGCATTATCATAAATTAAAAAGTTAGGAAAATTATACCTTAACTACCTTCACAATCAAATAGGTAACAAAAATGTACAGTCTGTCAAGTTTGGACAGAGATGCCAGTGAAATCATAATCTGTTTAACATCATCTATTTATATCTAACATAGCTGCTCTACACTTTGTGAACACCATGATTTTTGCTGACCAGTGGATGTCAGGATAACACAGGAGGGGTAAGGTATGTTGTCTGAGGTCATTCCAGATATTCAAAATCATGTGACTGATGTAATTTCAGATATCTAAAATGGAACTGTGACTAGTCAGAATGCAATTGTAGATATCTAAAATTATAGTTTTAACCAGACAAATTGTAAATTTGATGAGTCAAATGCAAATGTACATATAGAATTGCAATTTTGGATAGTCACTAATTTTTTTATATTGAAATTGTGTCATTAAATGTCTTTACAAGATATTATGGATATCTTGTAAAGGTATCTTAAAAGCTATTATGACAAGTCAAAACCTTTAAATCTACCACAATAAAGATAGCTGTAGCTGGAATTATGACTAGTCAAAATCCCATTGAAGATACATAACTTTAATCTGAATTTTGTCTAGTCAGAATGTAATTAGAGATAAAGATAAAATAATAAATAAATATAAATTGTACACAAGTTTTATAGTAACTAATCAAAACAGCATTTTAATTGTTATGAACAAAGAAAACTTTGGGGGTTAATGGTTACGTCAAACCCATTTTGTCAGCCTCATTAATGGCGTTTTTCCCTGAAGCCAATCTGTAGTAAATTATAACCTCTGTGTCAAACACGCACCCCATATCATCATATTGTTGTCTTTCAGCACACACAGTGCTCCTGCACCTCCACCAGCATCCACAGTCTGGCTCAGCATCACAGATTGCAACCCTTTAAAGTAAAGTATCTGAGTGAGTGCCAGGGTTTTTGCCCAATTATCCAGCATTAAAAATAAAGTAATAAATCACTATTATCCTGTTGGTCTGTTCTCATGTGGTTGCACTGCTGAGCCTCTTCATGTTTGGCCACCAGTCTGCAAACTGTGCAACTAAAGCCAATGAAAACAGCAGGCACCATGTGCCAAAGAATGAAGTTCCTTTCTGTGTAGCAGAGAGAACAAAGGTTGTCTCAGTAGAAACAAAGAGCCCACAGGACATTTCAGGAACAGTACACAGCACTATCCAAGCTCCGAAACATACACAAAGAACTCCTCATTATGCATCGTTCTTCCATTTTAGTGGAAAGAACTACAAAATACAGCATGACTACTGATCTTTAACATTTTCTACTGTAGGAGCAAAATGCATTTTTCTTATTTCTACATGTGTTGTCCTTCTCATTTCTGAGTCTTTGGTAAAAATGACTGCTGGGTTTGTGACCAGGTCATTAGTGAGGCAGTACTTGTGCACTGCCATCAAAGTGGCAAGGCAGGGCAACGGGGAGACCACACGGGAGATTCAGGAGAAGAAAGCAAAGCGAGCCAGGGAAACTCGGGGGAGGATGGCAGAAGATAATGTAACCTTTCTCTGTCCCTGAAATTCTATCCTCAAACTCAAGGGCAAAGAAAAAAATGGGGTAGAAATGGAAAGCGAGAAAGATATTTGTGTGCAGGGCAAGAGGAACAACTTTGGATGGGAAAAAAGACAGGAGAGCAGATGCCTGAGGGATATCGGCGTTTAAGGAGAGGGAGCAAGGGGATATGGTGGGGGAGGATTTAAACTGATGAATCCAAGCTGGTGGTGGTGGTGGTGGTGGAGAACTAGACCTAGAATAGCAGATAGGAGCTGTTAACAGACAGAAAAGCACACAACCACACAAAAAGAGAGTGGGAGTGGATGCTGTTACCACTGTCGTCTTGAAGGAAAGGTAGTCGGGAGTGAAATGTGCTGAAGAAGAGGCGACAAAGCTTTTGTTACTCAGACACACACTGAGAAATAATGCTTATTTAAAAGATGTCCAAGAAGACAATGAAGGAGAGTAAGTGACTGCTGCTGCACTGCAGCTCGAGTCTAAACTACTGTATGTCTCTGTTGCTACCACTCTGTGATCAAATCAAATCAAAACAAATTTTATTTGTATAGCGCCAAATCACAACAAAAGTCATCTCAGGACACTTTACAAAGTAAGGTCTAGACCTTACTGTTATCAATATTATTACATAGGGAAAACCCAACAAATCCCCCTTGAGCAAGCACTTGGCGACAGTGGGGAGGAAAAACTCCCTTTAACGGAAGAAACCTCCGACAGACCCCGGCTCTGGCCCGGTGATGTAAATATATAGTTATTTTTCCACTGATTATCAGCCATATGGAATTTCTTAATGTGCCAGGCCTCCTCTGATGCGTCATCCTCTGTGAAGGAAACAGACATAAAAGCGGCATGCATTCAAAAAAAATCGTACAAATTGAGTTGCTTGCAAGTTGATTCAATAAGGTAGTCTTAGTTCTACTGAAGAGGTTTGCCAGAGAAAAGAATCTGCTGTGACAGTATGGTTTAGATGTGACCCATAGCATGCATATTTTTGGGCATTTAAAGAAATACAAAAGCCATGGCTGCTACTAATCTATCTATCATTTGTATCATATTTGCTATGCGAGTTTCTGAGCAAAAAAAAGTTGCCAAAAATGCCCCATGTATCAAATGTGACACAAAAAATAAATAAAAATAATCTAAACAATATGGCACATTTATTCCTATATGCCTGGACTGTCTGTCTGTGCATAAATGGCAATTAAAAATCTTAAATCTTGAATTTTCTTTTGGATTTTGTCAAAAGGTTTAATAAACATCTCAGTTCCTAAATATTAGAATGTTCTGGTTATTTTTAGATGTATCAGGCTTTACATGGTTACGGCCATGACTTTGTTGTATCTCAGTAGGAGAAGCAGATGTACAGTATACACTATGTGTAGGTTATATAGTATGTGAGCTAAAAATACCTACTGCAGAATGTGCTTCCCTTGAGTGTTGAACATTTTGATTCCTCTTCAGTAAAGAAGAACTATGGACAACTGGATCCTATTAGCTGATTCAGTAAGAGTAAGATGGGTCTGTAAATCATTGAAATCAAAAACAATTAGTGAAACCTATATTTTTATTAATTGTATTTAAGCATCTATCCACCCAGGGACAACAGAGTAGCCTGTACCTACATCTGCTATAAAGGATTTTCAACAAGAATCAGAAAAAAGACACACACACACACACAGAGAGAGGGAGAGTTTCTCAAACTCA